CTTTAGTGAGAAAAATCGAAAAAACGAACTACAAACATATTAACGCCAAACATTCGGTAGAATTTATAGAATATTGTAAAAATATATATATATATGTTGGTAATAGACCATAATTTTTACAATATTCTATAAATTCTACCGAATGTTTGGCGTTAATATACCATATAATATAATATATATATATTATTAAAGACAGCACAATATATATATATATATATATATATATATATATATTGTTAAAATATATAATACTCTCATACTACTTTCAATAAAACAAATTTATTACACATGCATCTCAATATTTATATTTAAACTTATTAACAACTAAATTCAAAAAAATTTTAATAATTTGTTTATTTATAGTAACGCAATCCAGTTAAAACACACGAGACATACCTCAACATTTGATATTGAAAAAAACAAATTGAAATTTATCAATAGTAGCATAAGAGTCGTCGGACCTAAGACGTGGAACAAATTACCTGAATATTTAAAAGCAAAATCCGTTGTAAAATTTAAAAAAGATATTAAATCCTACTTTTTAACATGTAAACCCCTGTAACTTTGTGTGTGGGTTTATGTACGTGTGTGTGTGTGTGTGTGCATGTGTGTGTATATATGTGTGAGTGTGAATAAGTATGTTTTACGTGGGTCTATATATATATTTGTGTTTCAATAATTACAAACGACATTCTGATAAAAATGTAAAAGAGTTGATTACTTAATAATTTTGATTTCATTTTTGGTTTTTTTGGATTTGTAATATGAATGTGAGTTTACATGCACTAAAATATTTAAAATAAGCTCTCATTTTTACAATTGTCACTTGTAATCATTACAAGAAAACCAAATTTTTTTTTCGATTTCAAGATCATTTCTTTTCATCGATATCATTTCTTTGATTTTTTTGTTTTGATTTGATGAAATAAAATAATGTCAAATATCACCTTGATTTTATATAAATGGAAACAATTTATACAAATACAAACTAATGAAAAAAAATCAAGAAAGGCAAAACTTAAAACATGTCATATATAATAAAATAAAATTGAATTAAATCACTTATTCTCTTATATCACCTTGATTGCATATAGACAACAACAACAACACACGTTTAGACGACATTTTCCCCGAGATCGGGGGTTGCCGTTTGGCTACCTATAATGAAACCATTGTCACTTCTGTCATCATAAGTAATTTATTTGGCTAATTTTTACGCAGGACGCCCTTCCTTACGCAACCACAGTTATAAGCGGTGGGCCTAGCCTTTGATGATCCAACATCACTCACAAGGCAGTGAGGGTCAGTTTAATGTCATAAACAGGACAACCTTGATTGCATATAGATAAATGGAAACAAATTACAAAATTACAAACGCGAAGACATGACCAATCAAAATCAAAAAAATAAAAACATAAAATAAAAATAGTAATACTGAAAATATGACTAAGAGATTTAGATAAATAAATGACTGAGATCATAATCAGAGGAAAAATTGTTATAAAATTAACGAAATTTTAAATTAGATTAACTATTTGAGACAAAATGAGATAAAACAAGACAGCTATGAAAAACTATTTAAACAATCTTTACCAGTGCAAGGCAATCCCTGCTATCCATACTTCATTTTCTACACATATGAACAGTAGAAATACAAACTTATTACAATTAACGAATGAATCATTCAACAAAACTATTGAAAAATCATAATTAAAAATAAGAATTTGAAAAAAAAGTAGAAAAATAAGTTATTTATTTATTTGTTTATTTTTTAATTGATCGATTGAATGATATGTAATGTTGAATATGCATTAATAAAAATCCATGCATAATAAAAAAAATAATAATGATTCAAAATATACATATCATATAAATGAAAAAAATTTGTACAAATGCAACCTAATGAAAAAATAAAAAAGGCAGAAATTAAAAAATATATAACACCTTGACTGTATATAAACAATTTACACAAACGCAAACTAATGAACAAAAAACATAAAAAAATGTGAGTATATAATACACTCTTAATAAAATGTCATACATACTACTATATAACAAATAACTTTGATTTGTTGTCATAATCCAGAAAATAATATTAAATTGACGTCTTAAAAAAGGATTAAGGGAAACAATAAGAAAAATAAAATTAATTTACTCAATGTTATAATCCAGAAAATAATATTAACATACTAAAATTTTGTCTTCCCTCATATTTCGCAACTCAACGTTCATTGTGCTTCTGTAATAGTTATGTCTTAAATGATAATATTGCTCTGCAATTAAAATAATTACATAATTCAAATGACAATATATTCCATCATCTATAGGATCCATTATATGTGGGTCATGATTCAAACTATATTTTGTGAATATTTCTATTTTAGCCTTCAAACTCAACAGTTATCTCTACTTTCATTTTCTTTAATATTTTCTCAGCCATTGCACAGACCTTAAAAAAATTAAATAAAAATTGGAATTGTTTAATTTAATTATATTAAAAATTAAATCACATTGTTTTCATATAGAAAATTTATCATTGCATCTACAATTAGATAAAAATAATAGTAAGATCGTTTGCTAACCTTAATAACATCAACAGAGAAGTAACAATAAACAACAATATCTTTTAGTGATAGCTGATGACAACTGCAATTCTCATTTTTGGATTGAGTGATGAGGCTATCGCTGCATACCTCACAATCAATGTTGGAATACACTTTTGACATCACCCAATCGCCAAAGCATTTTTGTCAATGTTTCAACCAAATTTGACAAGAAATTGTACCTTAAAATGTGAACACTTTCCATTAAAATTTCATCTTTTATACAAACTGAAGATAAAATCTTAGATCAGTACTGGGCAATTCATAAAATGGTAAACAAAGAGTTAAAAATATATCTAGGTAAATTTGGGCTCATTTAGCTCCTCCCCTTTTTTATAACTTGTTCTTGTCTTGTTGTAATATAATAAATAAATGATGTTTAAAAATGCGGTTTTTAATTGTTCCTGTTTTGTAAAATTTTAAATGATTTTTAAAGCACAGTTTCTAATTTTTCATTTTTTTTAAAAATGTCATTTATTTGTAGATAAAAAATTTATTTTATAGTTTTTCACTTTAAAAAAATTTATAATTTATAAGCCTAAACTCTTTTTTATTAGTTCATGAATTTATTGACGATAAAAATTAATTTGATTGATCATGATTTATTTTAATAATGAAATAGATTAACATTTTATTTTTAAAATAATGAACGTAAGCTGATTTTAAAATATTTATTATTAAAAATTATTTTGAAATGAATAACAAATTTTAATTTTTTTAATTTTGATATTTTATCTACATTACATTAAAATAAATGTTTTTAAAATATTTATTATTGAAAATTATTTTGAAATGATTAACAAACAAAAATGATTGAAAAAATTTCTATTATTAATATATAATGTTTGGTTTTTGTCAATCAACTAGTAATCTATTTGAATTGATTTTCCCAGTACCAACATAAGATTTTGCCTAAAACAAAATAATTAGAAATAAAAAACTTACTTTTCAATGTTACCAAAAGCCTCACTAGATATATTAATATTTCTAGGCTTTCTGAAAATATTCACATCTGGTAACACAAAACGAACAGCATTAGTAACTAAGTAATCCTGGGACAACTTGTACATTGATAAATATTTTTGAACCTCTAAGCAAATTTTAGCAATTTGTTTAATTGAATTAATATTGCTCACAAAACTTACGAAACATGTTCGTTTTCAAAAAAGATGGCGGAATTATCAAAAATTTTAAAATTATTACAGCCCCCCTTCACATAGTATATGTATTGATAATAAGGGACTTCCAATATATTCTATAATCTATATATATGATCGCGGTGTATGTTTTTTAGCTTGAAGCAGAGATACAGTAATTTAATGCGCGTAAACTGTGCGTTACATTGTCTTTGGCCTGTTTTGTTTTTTTTTCACTGTCACATATATGCCTCACAGGAGTGAAAGATTTAATTATTATTAATTTTTTTCGTTCAACAACTTTAAGTTAAAAAAAGAAAAAAGGTTAGATTTATTTCTTGCAATACGGATTACGGCGAAGGAGTACATATATGTTCTTATATAAACCGATTTCACTTTCTAAAAGGTACTTTTTCTTTTTCTATTATTGTTTTGTTTGTTTTTTTAATATTCTTAACATTCTATGATTATGCACTAGGTAGATGCACTAGAAAAAAAATGCATGAAAAAAATTTTTCATTTTTATTCTCATAATCTGCAACTCGTTAGCAACCTTATGAGCCTAATTATAGTATGCAATTTTTTTAATAAAATTGACAGTTATACTAGTAGTTTATATAGCAATTTTAAGAAAGTAAAACAAATTATTGACTATGCTATGCATTTGTAAACCAAAATTACCTAAAGTGGGGTGAATGTTGGGTGTTAGGGGGAAACAAGGACAATTTATTTTTTAAATGAGTGAATATTTGTACAAATATGCTGAAACATTTGATAACCTATTTTTATTGTATAAAATCTAAAATGTATTTAATTTTAAAACAGATAGTGGCAATTCTTGAGTTTCAGACCTACAACTTTGTTTAAAATTTGTTTTTAATTACGAATAGAGAGTTACATAAGTGCCTCCTACTAATATGCAGAAAGTTGACTGAGGTTAAAATAGAAAAAATTTAAAACGTTTATTTCGTATTTAAATATGTTAGTAATATATTGATTAAATAAATATATTAAAATTTATTAAAATAAATTAATTAAAATAGGTTTAATTAAATTTTCATGGCACAATTGTTGAGATTGATGAGTCAAAATTATTGAAAGCGAAATACCGGAGGGGGAGAAATGTGGGTGCCAATGAAGGTTGGATTTTTGGATGGATCCAACGTGGTACAAAGCTTTGTTTTGTGGAAGAAGTCACGGACGTTGTTGCCGTCAATACAAAAGTGGATTGCTCCTGGCACAACCATCGTGTCAGATGAGTGGCGTGTCTATAGCTAGTTGGGGAATATGGGCTACACTCATTTGACAGTCAACCATTCCCAAAATTTTGTTGATCCAGTGACAGGAGCACACATCCAAAACGTTAAATCCATGTGGGCATGATTGAAAGCCAAATTCAAAGTAATGTACGGTACATCGAAGTCCCTCAGGCACACTTACTTGGCAGAATTTATGTGGCGCGAACGGTATGGCCACCTACCATTCGGTAATATTATTAGGCACATACACCAAAAACACAATATTTGTTAAATAATTTGAATTATTATTAATTAATCATTATTATTAATTTTATATTGATTATGTTGCCCAGTGTTTTAAACAATTTAAACAGTTTTATTTACTAAATTTTGCAATTTTTGTTTTACTTTGTATAATACTAAAAATTTCTTCATTTTTTTTCTTTTATTTTATATGCTATCTAAGAAATTTTTGTTCTATTTGTAATTTATTATTAAAGCAACATATTTTGAATTATTTTTTTATAATTATTATTAATTTTATATTGAATATATGTTGCTTAGTGTTTTAAACAATTTAAAAGGTTTAATTTACTAAATTATACGTACCAATTATAATAAAAATATATAAATAAATTATAATTAAATAAAAATAATTGAATTGAAAAAAGAAAATTAAGTTGAATAACTAAAATAATAAATCTATCTATCTATACATGCATCTATTTTGATTTCAATCCACTTTTTGAGTTTCAGTAAGAGGAGCTTATTTTACTCTTTATTAGAGATGATGAATGTAAACATATAACATAGGTCTGAAAGTCAAGTTTTGCCTTTATTAGACTGCTATAAGGCGTGTGAACGAAAAATATGCTCAAAACATTTTTTATGCCAAATATTATTTGAACAAGTATTTGTAAAAATTTCCATTACTTACAATCGAAAATAAATTTTTTTAAATTAATTTTTTTTAATAAATCTTTATTTGCGCTTCGAAATACTAATATTTATTAATTTATTATCTTTGACAAGAGTTCATTTTCCTTCTTCCTTCAGTTGTGAGCGGTAAGTCTTTTGAAAATTCATTTGATTTTGATTGTTTTGTTTAATTTAATTTAAAAAAATTAGATTGTTACTTTATCACTCTGATTTGAGAAAATAAAAATGAGTCATTTAAGTTGCGAAATAAATTTGTGAATATTGATAAAGTAGTTGAAGTGATAGAAAGTTTTAAAAAAATCCAATGAAGCGTGACACTAAAGAAAATGTTATAAAAATTTTAACAAAAAATATCTTCTGGAAAACGCCAAAATTGTTGATCTTGATCCAGATATGCTTTACAGTCAGAAGTTGTTTTTATATTTTTAAAATATTTTCAAGCCTTTATTTCAATTATAATAAATATTTTATATTTAAAATTTTTATACACTGTTAATTTTTGTATATTCAACAATGGTTACTACATTAGGTGGGTCTGTAAGCACTATGAAAATGTAAAGCCGTCTGCAAATTTGCAGTTTATTTGGCATACTGCAAAAATCGGAAGGTAGTGTTAGTAATCTTTGCAACAATTAAATTTTGTTTATTGTTGTTTATTGATTGTGATAATATTTTAAAAATTAAATTGATTGCGATAATATTTTAAAATATAAATTGAAATATTTAATGATGGTTAGTTATAATTAAATTTTGTTTATTGTTATATGTTGATAGTGATAATAATACTTAAAAAATTAAATTGAAATTTTTAATAATGAATAATGATAATTAAATTTTGTTTTATTATAGTTAAAATAATGGTTTAAAAAAATTGAAATATTTAATAATGAAATGGAAATTTTTTCTAGCAATTTTTGTAATTGGTTGCTTAAACATTTTAAGAGTTTATTATTAAGAAGATGTCTTTGGAGCACAACCAACCATGATGTTGGTGCATCTGTATTTGCACAGATAACCGACGCCCAACAGGAGCTGCTTTGGAGCGGGCTAAAAATATGTTCGACGCTGGTGCTAACCCACCACTTGTAACAAATTTCCTACATCAATCGTTTCTTTTTCCTGTAGCAAGAAAAGATGTATATAATTTGAAGCAAAAAACGAGGTTAATCATTATATATTTTAACATGAATTCCATTGCATTTGACATTATATTTCATAATGCCAGGTTAACTAGAACTCCAGAAGAGGAGCTGATGGGCGCGCTTGGGTTGCCTGGTGTTACAAGTGAAATCTTAGTTGACGAGAATGGGTCATGGTTGGGTCTTTACGTAATTGTTTCGTCTTAACATATGAAGAATGTACCTGTATGCATTATTGTGTAAATATGTGTGTTTGTCTGTGTGTGTTACTATATGACATTTGATGTAATAAACTTTTATTTTTAAAATTGTCATTCTATAACAAAAATGCTTTATATTGTCTTAATAAACGTCAAATTTTGCGCTTTGACTGCGTCCTGTATCATCAAAATAGCGTCAACTTTGTTGTACAGACTTCGGCCATCTCAACGTCGAATTCGTCGTGCGATTCTCACGCTTTACACCGTCTAAACTTCGTATTCGCTCGCTCGTGATTCGCACGCCTTATAGCATCTCAAGGTCGAATTCGGCTTGCGAGTTAATTTCTATTTTCATCTCAACGTCGAATTCACCGTGCGATTCTCACGCTTTGCACCGTCTAAACGTCGTATTCGCCAACTCGTCATTCGCACGCCTTATAGCATCTCAACGTCGAATTTGATGGGCGGGTTTCTCACGATTTATAATTTCAAACGTCGTATTCACCCGCCCGTGATTCGCACGCCTTATCTCAACGTCTATTTGAACGCCTTATAGCATTTCACGCTTTATAGCATTAAAGCGTTCAATTGGCCGTGCGGATTTTTCACGCCTTGTAGAATCTCAACGGCGTGTTCGCCGTGTGAATCCGCACGCCTTATAGCACTGACCTTAAATAAAAAACCAAATGTTTTTAAAGACTGCAAACGTTCCCTGACGCCAGTGGCGTATTAAGTCAAGCGGGGGCCCTAAGCAGAAAAAAATTTGGGGCCCTCAAACTTAGTGTGTCGTGGAGAGGCTTTTTAACTTTCAACTATTTCCAACTTATAACTATGTAGGTGATATACATCTTTGAACTAAAAACAACTTTTAACGAATTTGAATATATTTTGTCGACAGATTTGTTACAAACATTAATATATTAAGTGCGAAATTTTTAAAATATTGAACACTGAATTATTCAAATTAAATGTTCAAATTCTTTTTATTTACAAACACAACACACACATATATATATATATATTATATATATTTTATATAATCTTCAAGCTGAAGCCAAGAAAACGCGAGGTAGTTTTCAAAGTAAGCTACTCTCTGAGGAGATGAAGGAGAATAAAGGGAGAATAAAGATATCGTAATAAGACGCGCAGATAAATCTGCACAATATGTCATTATCGACCGAGCCGATTACCATGAAAAACTCAATGATGTTCTCAATGATACAAAAAAGTTCCAAGTAATCAAAAAAGATCCCACTCCTCAACTAAAAACTAAACTAAACACAATAATTAAGAAGATAAGAAAGCACATCACCGATGACAAACTTCCATCACTTATAAGCGAATACTCTCCTGGCTACTTATAAGGAAATATAAAAACGCATAAAAAGAATCATCCCATCCAACCAATTATTAGCCAAATTACAACTGTCACCTACCCTGTTGCAAAATTCTTGAACAAAATTTTAACCCCATATATTCCAAACAATTACACACTACAATCTTCCCGTGAGTTTATTAATCTCCTCAGCATTAATAAACCATCCAAATTTATTGCCTCTCTGGATGTTGAATCATTATTCACAAATGTACCAATTCATGATACAATTGACATAATTATCAACACCGTTTACCACTCAGATATGGTTCCATTGAACATACCGAAAGCACAACTGAAGTCCCTTCTTCAAATTTGCACTACTGAAGCACCATTCCACAGCCTCACAAGCAAACTTTACTAGCAAATCGATGGTGTCGCTATGGGTTCCCCCCTTGGCGTCTTATTTGCCAGTTTTTACTTAGGACAGCTGGAGAATGAAACATTCAAAAACAATGCAAATTTAAAACCAAATATCTACGCCAGATACGTGGATGATATCTTCGTCTCCTATAACTATCCTGAACAAATCACCCAACTTGTTGGTACCTTAAATAAATCAAAACTTAGATTTACCATTGAAAGTGTTACAGCTCTCAGCAGCAAACTTTCCAACTAAATTCAATGAATGGTTAGCACAAGGAATAAAAACCGCACTCGGACTATGTTCTTTAATACGTGTTTGTAAACCTGAGTACTTTCCTGACGTGTTCGAAGCGTTGTCAAAAGATTGACCTCGACAGTTTTTAATATCTAGGCCAAATTTCATTAAAGTTTCTAAAACTTCTTTTTCCAAGTATGGAGAGTTTTGCTTATCTATAGGAACGAACCCTAAAAATCGTTCTTTTTTCTTGGAGAAAAGTTTGCAAGGGTAACAATAAACGCACTTGCTAGTTTCGGAAAATACCAGCCATGTTCTTTTTTCCAAAACTCCGTTTGATTTTTTTCTATAAAAATGATCATTAGAGAGCCCTCTGCTGTAGTAAACATCATCTTTTTCTTTAAACACCGATTTTAAGTTTTCTATATTTCCCATATTTTCTGGTTTATTTTTTAAAATATAGTCAATAAATGAATCAGACAAACTGGCTGGCCATAAGGCTATATCATTAATTTCTTCATTTTTCTTATACAATTTTTCTGAATTTTCTCTGTCTTCTGTTATCTCACTATTTTTTTTATCAACCTGATGTTCACTTTTTCCTTCCCTTTTTTCAACACTTATTGGTCTGTGACAAGGTTCAAAAGAAGAAGTTGATGGCACAGGTAACTCGATATCGCTATTTGCTAACAAATATTTATGAAATGCATTTTTCTGACTTTCAACAAATTCCTGGATTTTTAAGATTTTTTTCCTTTTTTCCCGCTCCACTTTGATGTCTTTTCATTTTTGCACTATGAAAGTCGTTTTTATTATATTAATTAATTAATTAATTATTAAAATATAATTACGTTTTAATAGCATCTATCTGCCAAGTTTGAATTTTAATATTGAAACAATTCAATTAATTATAAAAGCCATTTGTAATTAATTAAAATGAAATTCATTTAATGAATTTATATCAAAAGTAAATAAAAATGTTTACCACTTGAAATAAAAGAAAAAAACAGACAACTAAATAACGTTTTAATTATTTGACCACAATACTTTTTAAAAAAATAAAAACACGCGCTTTCATCAACAAAACAACGATACGATATTAAAGACAGAAAAGCAGGGATGTCCGAAGAAATATCACGGTGGCTAACGAAACGAATGACAGATTGTTTTCAAACATATTACTGTAAACTGCTAATGTTTGCAAACGCTTATTAACGTTGAATTCAGCATATTAATTGAAAGAATTTTTTAATAATTTCATTATATTTCAAAATTTATTTCAGTTATTTTTATAAAATAATTTTTTTTACGGGGCCCCCTTTCCATTAATAACAAATATTATTTAAAATTTTATGATTTTTTTCAAATTTTGAAATTTCATTATATTGGAAAATTTATTTGAAGTATTTTTTGAGGGATAAATTTGTACACGGGGCCCCTTGGCCGTCCGGGGCCCCTAGCAGCTGCTCAGTCTGCTAAGCGTTAGATCCACCACTGCTTGACGCTGATGCTAATTCAACTCAAACTTGGAGTTATTATTTCATAAAAAAATTTAATTTACTTTTTATTTTTCCAAAATAGCTTAGTTAAAATTGAATGTTTGCTGATGAATGTTTGCTAGCTTTTCTCGAGTTATATTTTTCTTTTGTAAAAGACAACGCGATAATATGATTTTTTTCATTTTATCGGGTTTCAAAAACTAATTTGACCGCAAATTGCTGATCCTAACTTAAATGTTTCAAACAAAACTGGTTGGACGCACTATCTGTCGTTCTTTTAGGACTCAGAAACATGCCAAATGGTAATGGAATGTCTCCATCAATAGTAATGTCCGGAACCCCTTTGTTATTACCAACTCGATAATTGTCGCCAGATTCAACCAAAGATATATCTTCTAATCGAATCAAATAACAAACTAGCGAAAAAGATGTGCAAACTCAATGGATATTTATCAACCAATAGTCAACACCATTCTACTTCCAACACCAGCCACGCGAGGTTAAGAGTAGATCTTTCAATGGAAGCCCTATATACAGGCCCTTTCAAAGTTATTTAACTTAATGAAAAATATTTTAAACTTGAATTATTGTCAGGAAATTTTCAGAGTGTATCAATCAACCGATTAAAACCAGCTTGTATACCACTGCTTTCAACACTTCAGATCAAAATCAACAGTAAAAATAACCAAATTTCTACATCAGATGCAAAACAAAACCAACATCCATAACATCAACCATATAGCAATTTGGTCACAACATCAGACGCAACCGCACCATCAACATCACGAGAACAACAAGATCAACGTCAGTCACATCAGAACCAACAACCACATATTCCAAGAAGGGTAGAAGAATCAAGTTCAAAACAAACAACAAATATTTTACTTTTTAATAGCTCCGTTTTTATGGGGGTATTGTAGGGGACTAAATAGTTTTATCGTTATCATTTACGAACAATATCCAATTGGTGACAATCAGAAAATATTTGAAACAGTAATGCTGTTTGTTGAATAATTGGTTTTTTTAATGTGTTTGAGCCAATAAAATAAAAAAACCTCCTCTTTCCGAAGCCAGAAGATTTAAATAACAGAAGCACAAGATACTATTTTTAGAACATTTAGTTAACCCTGTTAAGTGAAAATCAATAACTGTTATAAGCAGTACTTTTCAGTCAGGACCAAACTCAAAAAACGGTTTTTAGCAAAATTTACATAAAATGTAAAATATTTTGCTGAATTAGGTAGGTACAAACAATTTAACTAGGTAGGTTGGTGAAAACAAAGAAAAATTGTTTATGCTATGAACATTAAAGATTTCAATGGACTCGCTCAGTTGTTTAAGCAGTGCAGTTTGTAATGAAAATGTTTAAAGCGTTTTTATATGAAAAATTTAATAATTTTCAAGATAGTCTGTTGCCTTTATCTGCTCAACATTTTTGTTAACTCTTAATTGCCGTTAAAAATTGGTTTTACATGTGAATTTTTTACATGTGCGTTCTGAGCTTGCTTGCATGTATATTTTTATTTATATTTATGTGCTCATTTATATTTTGCATTTATATTTATTGCGTAATATATTCTTACAGGTTTCTAACATGTTTGGTCGAAAAACACAGTCAGATGTGAAAAAGTCAGCTGCCAAGGTTCTTGATTCTAAAAAAGATACAGTGACCAGATTGAAACATTTGAAAATTATTATAGGTATTAATATTCCTATATACAAGAAAAAATGTAAAAAAAATGTTTAATGTGCAAAATATTTTTTTAAAACTGAAGTTTTTTAATTTCAATACATTTTGTTAATTATATTCTAATGAGCGATAGTATTTGTTCCGATAATAGTAAATTTAAAACAACTGAAAATGAAGCAGCACACAGCTCGTGTCAGCTGTCGAACGTTAATTTATTTTTTCATGAGTTAGACAATTTCAGCGGAATAATTAGTACGAAAAATGGCCAGGGAAATAAATGGCAGAATCAGAGTTATTTTACAAAGAAAAGGTGGCCGAAAATGTTGCAATAATTATCAATCCCTGAGTTTATTGATGTGGAATGCAAAAGTTTAATTGATTTTAAGAAGGTATTGTGAGAAGAGGTGTATGAGTACTGAAAAAAGCATGTCATAAAAATTCAAAAATGGCTGTAAGAATGCTGGCAGAACCTGGAAGAAGCAGATATTGGAAGGTGACAAAGTGATCTAATAGCACTACTTCTTTTCAAAGTCTTATTGGAAAGGGCAATGTAAAATATAATAATAAACATAATCGATAGAGCTATATAATTTTATATAATAATAATAATATCATTATAATAAAAGATGCATTAATATGTGTGGTTAATATCAATATCTAGGGGATGTTCTAGATTGTACTGGAACAGCTGAAGCTGCCGTTCGAGCACGCATA